TTGGTAATTTGGTCATTTTTGGAAATTTTGACAAATTTGGATGTATTTAAGGTGTTTGAAATGATTTTTGATCAATTTTGGGTATTTTGGCAAAATTTGGGAATATTAGCCAAATTTGGGTACCAAGGGCAGTTAGGTAATTTGGAGGTGCCTAGGGGCAAAAGACCAAGTTAGGCATTCCACATAGAATTGGATAGATATCCATTCTAAATGAACCATGGATCAATGAAATCTTCATTTTGGGTCCTCATGTATTGGTTTTAATAAGTGTATTGTGAGGATATTGTGTATCCTAACTCCAAACCAACACCAGGGTCAATCTTAAGGCCAAGTAATCCTATAGGAACTCCTCTTAAATCCTCTCACAATGATCTTACCTATTAAATACTAGAAGTTAAGATCAATATGTGAAACTTCAAGTTGAGTAAAGAGAAAGGCTTTGAATTTCTAATGGTGGGGTACCTCTTCTAATTTTCTAAGACTAGTCAATAGGAAAGTCCTATGGCTAGACCTAGGCTACTAAAGATGTTTTCTGGACCTCAACCAAAAGTGAGGTCAACAAGTATTAGTAAACTTTGTAAAATGAGTGTTTACATTCTATCGACTTACCATCTAATGTACTTTATTTAACATGTGTTAATTTCTTTTAGGAAGTAAATAAGAAATCATATTTTCCTGGTTAGATGCAAAATTTCTTATACCCTAGAACTAGACTAGTATATTAGAATTATCCTTTTCTTATCACTATGAATCTCCTGATGTATAACTATTGATAATTTCTATGAAACCCACTCTTATAAGTTAACTAAAGTGATATTTAAACCTTGGTGTTATTTGAGGACGAGTAACCCTTAAGTTTGAGAGATTTTGATGTGTAGATAGTAATGTTATTATTTTCTTATTATTTACACATTTTTATGAACGAGATTGCACTTTAAAGAAAATTATTTTGAAGTTCTTGAAGGTATAAGGTATAACAAAAATTAGAAGTAAGGAAGCGTGGACGAGACTTTGAGCAAAAGGAGCACAAGGAGACCAGTGCCTAAGCGTTGGACCTCTAGGCGCCTTGGTGCCAATTTCTACCTTAGCAAGCTGAGAGTATGGCACTTAGGTGCAACACACTTGGTGCCTAGGCACCACGATACTCACTCCTAGGCACTGACACTTGGGCGCTTAGGCGCCTATGCTGATCTTTACAAACTGAGACCCTATCGCCTAGGCATCAGCCCTTGAGAGCGTAGGCGTCGACAACTGCCTGGAGTAGTTTTGGTAGTTCGTGGGGAGCTACTAGGAGGTTTTGGAATGGTTTCTTATGCTTTTTAATTGGGTTTATAAATATGATATATATGTTGTTATTTAAGGATTGATGAAGGGAGGTTGCTAGGGTTGTTTGGTGTGGAGAGATTGATGAATTGATGTGAGTTGGTTAGCCTGTTGTAGTATCTCCTTATTTTTCTTTTTCTGGAGTTGAGGATAGAGATCTTTCAGGGGACCATTGGTGAAGCATCTTCAGGTCACTGTAAAAAAGAGGAAGAAAAGTTTATTGTGTCTTTGTTCTTGTTTCTATTATAAACATTTGGATAGTGAAATTTTTGTGTTTCAATGACTTTGTGTGTTGTTTCTCTCATGTTTCATGAGTAGCTTTCTTTATCTTACCTTATGATGATTAAGTTGGATGTTTAAGAATGTTAAGTGCTGTGAAATTGCTTTTAATTTTTGAATTTGATGATTGGCCTTCAGATCTTTATTTTCTTTTTATTTTGGCGAAGTGAAATGTTAAAATGTGGTATGAACCATAATGAATCGTAAGAGCTATGTTAGAACCAACTATGTTAGTCAAGTTGAACTGTGGGGAATAGGTGGATATGCCTCATAGGGAGATGCAAATTTTAATGAAATATTTTTTGACATGTTCAAAATGATATTTAAGGAATTAAAGTCATTTTAACCAATCTTCTTTATGCACTCAGAAGAGGGTAGGGAAGAGAGTTGCTTTTATTTTTCACTAGTCATATTTATAATTTGAACTTTGCATTTCATGTACAACACTTACATCATTACAAGGGAGGGTATTTGTAGAACCTAACATTCATCAATCAAACACTTAGTTAAGTAGGATTTCAACTTTATAATTGCTTATAAAACTAGAAGATTAGTTTATAGGACTTTAACTCGATCTAAATTCCAGGCTAAGAGCAAAATCTGAAGGTTAGAACTTTTCCTTTTTGGGAATCACCTTGTTCTCTGTGGGATCGACATTCCAGACTCTAAATTCTGATATTACTAATACGACACATACACTTGTGTGAGCCCCCAATGTGCAATAGTACCTGGAGACGAGTATCAATAGCGTTCGACATAAGCAGGTGCTGCAATGAAGGCTGTATTTCATGAGCAAAATGTCTAAAAGAAGCAAATACATATTTGGAATCAATCAGAGCTCAACAAAAAATAAATACCAGTTGAAAAAACAAATAGACAATAGGTCATTGCCATATCGATTGGAGGACAAAAAGCGTTCCACAAGAGACGGGGGAGCAGTTGAAGTGCTACATTCTACTCGAGCAATGAAACTAGATGGAGATTGTCTTTCGAGCAAAAAAGTCGAACAACAAGGATGTGTGTCTCGAGCATGAGCAAGAGCAAGAGGGAGAGAATTTTGCACGTGAGAATTAATGGGAACGAGAACGGAAGTAACATATCAGTGCCCGATTTCACGTTTTCAAAGAAAGTGAGTGCGGAAAGCATAATTTTTTAGTTTTAGGTACCAAATATGTAAATAAGAAAATTTGTAGTGCGAGACAAGTAAGACCTTTATTTTTATTTCAAACATAAATCAGATTGAATTCTAATGTTTCATTCCTCCATATTCAGATCGAAAGACAAAAAAGTTATATTTGATAAAACAGACAAATAAATAAAAAAATAATATAAAATTAATAGTTTTATTTATTTTTATTAATCTTCAAAATATAAATAAATAAATAAATAAACTGAGTAAACCGGCCAAAAGTCTAAGCTTTGTGGTCCAGAACCAGCATGCAGGAAATGGCTATTGAACAGCGCCGCGCGTACCAGAGCATATACTTGTCGCACAGCAGCCTCCGTACGAGCCGGTAGCCTTCAAACTCGTCAAGCTGGATCGCCCGGATACGTAACCCGCCCTGCGGGCCCCAACAGGGATGCCACAAAGTGATCCATCTCTTCCCGTCGCAATCCGACGATCCCCGCACCGGCTTTCAACGCCATCCTTAATGCCCTATAATAATTAACCGCACCGGCCCATAAAATGGTTCTTAAGTGGCATCTATTTCAAATTTGAAAGCGGGAAAAGGACGACGCCCCCTGGCTTCTTACCCCACGGGTTCAGCTTCCTCTGTAGCCCATAACCCACCTCTGAGATGCAGCACGAGTTGTCTCATGGGGAGGCACTTAGTTAACTTAATTACTATTATTTATATATTACTAACTCACGGTGTAAATAACTTGAGCCTCACCGAAAGCTTTCGCAGGGCTAAGTGGTCCCGTTGGTCGCTGTCGAGCCACGTACCGATCCCAATTTTTAAAGATAAGAAAATGGATGTAAATAATAAATTAATAGATCGGTAAAACTGTGCTAAGGACTGGGGCAGATTGCTCTCGTGGTCATATCGTCATCTTCGTCACAAAACTTCTCTACAGATTAAAAAAAAAAGTTCGTGCTAACTGCTTTCTGTTTTATCTGTAAAATTCTCTTTATTTTTTAATATAAAGCTGAAAGATATATAGTTCTGCTCCGTCATATTTCCCTCTCTCCATATCATCAGGATTCATTGCATGGTTAGCTCGATGGTGAGAGAATGGTATTGGAGCCGTTCCGAGTCCAAGGAGGAGAGAGAGAGGCCTGGATGCATGAGAGGCATGTTCCACTTCTTTGATTTCCATCACCTTCACTTCACAGGTGGCTGCCGGACTCCGGCGACGGCTACCTCCCCTCCAGCGACTGGGCTGCAGTATCGACAACTGCTGGAAAATCAACAATGTTACGACGTAGCAAAGCGCAAGGGTAACTTCTACCGATCAAATCTGGCGTACGCTTCTCTTCTACATTTTATTCTGGGCGGTACTCATATGAAGTTCCTTTTCCTAGCTCAGGAATAGAAGCTCCGAGGAATAGCTTGGAGCTTGAGGAGTCCGACACAGCTATCCGAGAAGATTATTTTGGCGTTCCAGTAAGTGAAACAATATAGTATGTAATTATATAAATATACAGATTTTACTTTTGTAGTCTTATTGTGCTTGAATCCAAACTACCGTTCTAATTCCATTAATGAATGGATTCGGATTTTTTGCTTCATATAACAGAAACTAAACTATCAAAATATAATTTTTTATTTCTTTAAAATTAAATAATATTCAGATTTTAATCTTTCAAAATTTATTACATCCTAATAGAGTGAAATCCTATTTATAGCAAGTTATTTCATGTTTTCAGATCAGCATTCAAATCGCGCATCCGTCGGCGATGGCCAAGAAAAAGAAAATAGAAGAAGAAAAAAGAACATGTCAGGCTGTGACGCCAAGAACTCGAAGCATCGTGGCACGGCTAATGGGGCTCGAAAGCCTTCATGACGAGGTTTCAACTCCGTATTTAACCAGCTATGAATCCTCCTCAGCTGTTGCTTTTCCAGCTCTTATCCCCAACAACAATGAAAAATCTAAGGAGAAGAAAAGGAAGACGACAAAGAAGCAACAGTCTACACAAGATTCTAAACAAGACTTCCCGTCTCCACGCCGGCCACTGCGAAACTTGAACTCCAATATTTCGGGGTCCATTTCCTTACCTGAAACCCCGAGAGCTTCGTCAGAGAGGCCGCGAGATACAGAACCCAGACACTCGTTGCAGCACAATAAGGAAAACAATACAACCTACACCATGCAGGAATTGAGCTTCCTCAGAGATGTCATTCCCGTCTCTTCCACATTGCAAATGCCCAAAAAGGACTACTTTCCGTATCTGGAAGGGAATAAAACCCCAACAAGCCAGCACTTTACTCGGGAGATTGTTAAACACATGAAAAGCAATATGCGCAAAAGGGAAGGCGGATTTGGGCTCAACGGCGGCCATGAGAGAATTGTTATAGCAAGAAAGAACGAGAACACTGAGAAACAAAACGTTAGGAATAACCACCTTCGACCTCCAACAGTTATAAAGCCACCGCCAACTTGTTCATCTCCCAAAGCAAGATTTTCGGAACCCATTAAAAAAGTTCAGCAACATCCATCCCTGACGTCATTACCCTCCACCAAAAATTTGTTCAAATATAGAGTTAAGTCTGATGCCAAAAAGCTGAAGATGGAGCCCGGAAAATGCAGAAAAACGAATAAATTTGAACGTTTCCCAGAAAAAGTTATACGGCAGGCTCCTCAGCTTTGCGTATTCGGTCTACAAACTGAATTTCTTCAACCAGCCGACAAAGTCCAAGAACTTGTATTTTGCTTAATCAATTATCATCTATTTTATTGCTGATAAATAAATTAATGATGCAGTTTAAATACATTTTTTTTAAAATTTTCCTTTTTCAGTTAATTAAACATTTTAATGTCGAAAAGGAGGACCCCGAGTTCAAGTACGTGAAGGCCATCTTGACCTGCGCTGACGTCGTTGAAGATAAATCATTGAAATGTTTGTCCAGCTCTCTCCGACTAGACCGGGCTGTCTTCGATATCCTCGAGCGGTGGTTTCCTTTCTTCGAGCCCGTTTCTCGTGATGCGAAAAAGGTTGAGGAGGCCACGGCCCGACTCGGCCCGTTAAGGCATCGTTGGAACCGGAAACTCGTGTTCCATCTTGTAGAAGAGATTCTCGGCGACTTACTACTTCTTGGTGGGCCCAAGCGATTGTGGCGGCGATTTGACAGCAAGCTGCTGCTTTCCCGACTATGGTCGGAGATAAAAAGCTACCCGTCGGCGGACTGCCGTGTAGTTGGCGACATTGACGCTCTGGTTTTCAGAGACTTGCCAGAGTCGAAAGTCCGGCGGCTTCTCCGTCATCCTTCGGTGGTGGCGGAGGTGCAGGACATCATATCGGAGATACAGAGGGATATACTAGATTCCCTCCTCGGAGACACCGCGGCATCGCTCTTTCTGATCTCTTCCAGCACGGCACCCAAGGCCGGATCTTGACGTCAGAGCAGCACATGTTGCGACCAGCTGACGGACGGCGCTAAAATCCACGGCATTTCTCGTCGGAGCTCAGCGAGCATCGTAACTTGTTTGGTCTGCGATTCTTTGCACATGTAATTCGTGTTCGTCTTGTGGGTTTTGTATAAATGATTAGGTTTTCAAAATAGCTTTTTTTTCTTTTTATTTAGTTCTGGTTTCATTTCTAGTCTATCAACTCTGGAGCACGGAAATGTATTTTATATAGCTGTGGCCTATGGGGTCCTTGGTTAATTAGCTTGATCAAATAACGCGAGGAGAGTACATCTTACCTGCTGGAGCGGGAGTTGGATCTTACCAGCTAGAAAAGTACAAACTTGCTGCTCTTAATTGGTCAAGTAAGATTTCAGAACCAAGCATTATGGGCTTATTCGCTGCGTGCATCCGTGATCCATTCAGAGACCGAGAACTGGACCTTGCCAACTGGAGTTTGATCCGCACTAATTAAAATTATATTATTATTTTTTAATCTTTAATGCAGGAATTTGCAAACTTAAATTGTTTTTATGGAGTTCTAAGATTGTCATGTAGTAATAGGGTTGACTCTCATAATTATTAAAAAAATGAACAAAACGCTAATTTATCATAATCATTTTATAAGAATTAATTGATTAAGACTAAATTTGAGCAATTGTATAAAGTAATTTTTTATCTTTTGCAATTAGTTGATTCCGATCATTTAAAGTGGAGTGTGTTAAGAATTGCAATTGAAATAGAGAAGAGAAGGGAAAGA